GCGTAAGCTGGCCAGTGAACACACCTGCAGGCTGATGAGATGGAATGTTCGACGTTGCACTAGGATATCGTATAACAGGAAAATCCCATGCAATATATATATATATATATATCGTCACAAACATATATATATATATATTTTGGAAAGCTTGAGAATTTATTATAACAAACAATAGGACGATAATTTTTTTTTTTTGCTCTTTCAAATCTTGGAAAGCTCCTTCACCAAAAAAAATGGATTGGAAAAGCGGCCGAGTGTTTCCACACTGATATTCCACGCGCGCGCGCGCGCGCGAGTTGTAGAGTACTTGGGTCAGTCGTCAGGGTCATAATCTGAAATGATCGCAGATACAGGTGTATGCAAATATCAAAAAATAATATTTTTGTTTTTTTTTTTAAATTGTTATTTCACGAGAGGCTCCAGAAGAGTTGAGATTCTTCTCTTCAAGAGGGGATTCAGCAGAGGTTGGATTCTTAGTTAGACATTGACTCAGTCAGAACCAATTGAGATCTTCTCACGTTGATTCCAAAGAGTAGGGGAGTATTATTAATTATAGAAGCTTAAGGACGCGGATTCAGAAGCGCTGGATTTTCTTTTTTTGGTTATTTTACTTGTTTTTCTCTCCGTTAGATTCTTATCACACGTAAATCACGGAGAGATTGAAATTTCCCCCCACACGTAGATATAGATTCAGAAGAGAGATTGCACTCTTCTGCTGACGTGAATTAACAAAAGAATGGATTCTGCGTACCTGGACTCAAGAAGAATTGGGGAATCATCCATCATGAGGGAGAGAGAGAGAGAGAGGGTTATTCCTCTTACCAAGTTGGAAAGCCGTGTGATGTGTACGACATCATCCAGGTTTTAATAGGCACTCCTCTTCTTTTTTTTTTTTTTTTTTTTTTTTTTTTTTTGGTTGAAACTTGAAAGTTTGATGGGCACTCTCCACGTCAGAAGAGATGGGATTCTTGTCACGTGGTATCAGAAAAAGCATTGAAGTTCTGATCGTTCGTTTCTAACGACAAGAAAGTATGTGGCATTGGCTTGTTCCTCAACGTGGATTCCTTCAATTTTTTTTTTTTTTTTTTTTTTTTTTTTTTTTTTTTTTTTTTTTTTTTTTTTTTTTTTTTTTGGGGGGGGGGGGGGGGGGGGGGGGTGAAGGGGGGGATTCCTTTCAATTCGAATGCATTGGATTCAAACGCAGACGAATGCTAATATTCACTTTAATCGGAGATCCCGACCTGGGTTCTGGGCTTGTTGGACCTCAATGAGGTGAGTGGATGGATGCCGTGATCAGCTATCTGACATGGTGAATTACTTATACTCCTCTCCCACAGGGTCGTGACATTCCTATTTTGGCAATTTCTTTCGATTTCCTAAGCGTGTCATCCTTGAATGCGCAGGAGTCATGATGCTAATTACGGTAGTATAGTAATTGATTTGGAATGCGCAGGAGTCATGATGATAATTAATTACCATTATGCCAGTTAATTAATAATCGAATTGATCTTGCATGCGCAGGAGCCATGATGCTAATTACTAGTAGTAATAAGTACTGATAACCATTATGCTAATTGAATTGATTGATCTCCTCTGTGGCGTTCTGATTTTCTAAGCATGTCCCGAAGAGGATAGACTCGCAATGCTTCCACAATGCATCCTCTGTGCAGGAACTGATTCCGCGCGTTCTTTCACGCAAGTGCAATTCTTCTTCTTCTTCTTCTTCTGCTGCTGCTGCTGCTGCTAAGAAAAGAGTCGAGGTGCAATGTGATGGATGAGACGGGATCCCGACCTTCCCAAGTAGCGGCTTAGCATCCTCGATGGCCATGCTGACTCGCTCCGCCGTGTCGAACATTTTCCCGACTCCGTGCTGATCCACCTGCCTAGCGATCTTGGTACAGATCCCGACAAGCTCGTCCAGACTCACGCCTTGCTCGCCCTTCATCCTCCCCCTGTCGCAGACAATCAACCCCTCGGAAGCGCAAGCGCTGTCCAACGGCCCCGCGGACACGGTCGGGATCGGCGGCTTCGGCGTGATGTCGATGAGCGTCTCGCTGATGAGTCCCGACTGATTGACCTCGACGAGCGAGTTGCGCGGTATGACCACCGCCTGGTCCATGATCTCGACCACGGCATCTATGCGGTCCAGACTGGGCCGCACGCTCATCACCGTCCCGACATTCACCCCTCTGATTCGCACTGGCGTCCCGACCGTGATTCCGCACGCCTGCGCAAACTCCAACACCGCCGTGTACTTGCGGTTCCTGGTCCTCACATGCACGCCATAGATCCAAGACAGCGACAGCCCGAACATGAACACCCCAGCCATCACGAACAGACCGACCCCTCCCTCCCAAATACTCCGCTTCCCGAAGCCAAAGTTGTTCAGCGGCTTCAGAATCTGGGACCACAACGAAGGCGGGGGACCTGTCACGGGATCGCCGAGCCGGCGGTCGTCCAGCATGCCCGCCAACGGCGATGGCGCGGGGGAGGGCGACGAGCTCGAGGGGGAGGGGGAGGCCAATGACGACGACGCGGGAGATGAGGGCGATGGAGAGGGAGGAGAGGGAGGAGAGGGAGAAGAAGAGGAAGACGTTGGAGGAGGAGGAGGAAGGGGTGAACCTGACGAAGACGACGAGGCGACTATCGTCGGTGGTTCCGAGGGACTTCGTCCTGCCCGCGTCGACAGAAAGCTTAGCAGAAGACGACGCCGTTGATAGGAGGACGCTAGGAGCGAGACGCCTAAGAACTCAGACGGGTCCACTGACGAGGAGGAGCATGAGCAGGAGAGACGATAGCACCGCACGGTTAACCACTGACTGCATTCGACACGTGTCCGCGGCATGCTCCCGGCAGACACTGCCGCCGCAGCCGCCGCCGCTGCAGCCGCCGATATCCTTGTCAAGGTTCTGGTCGGAGATGGGAAAAAAAGATTCGACGAACAACAGCGATCACGGCTTCCTCCCTCCATCTTTCTCCCCCTCCACTTGGTAATCCTCCTACTGCCGACGATGCCGCGATGATGGGTACACAGCAGCGAATCAGAGGACGAGGTCAGGCCCGCTTGATTGCCAACGTGGCGACGTAACGATTGTCCTCCTGTGGGGAGACAGCAGAGAGCATCACGTCTGACTGCGGAGGAACGACGACGACCGATTGCTTGGCAGACACGGCAAGAAGCGCTCCGACATGTCGAGCAGGGGGAGGAAGAGGAGGAGGAAGAGGAGGAAGACGGAGAAGAACAAGGAGAAGGAGAAGAAGGGGAGGAAGAAGGCGACGGAGAGGAAGAAGACGAAGCCACGAGAATTTCATGGCGCGTCGTCAACGCTGAGGACGAGGGGTGGACGAGGGAAAGAGCGCATTTCATGGCGGCAGGTGGGCAGAACTCAGATCGGTAATAGGAGGGTGTCACTGTCGAGGTGCAACTGCCGGCGCCACCGCCGCCGCCGCCGCCAACCCGCGCGCCACACCCAGCCCGTAATCCTCCTCCGCACTTCCGCTGGACTTCTCCCAGATGAGCCGCCGTTGGCTCGCATCTAGGAGCACCACTCGCTAATAACTGAGAGACGGCGGCCATGGAGATGGAGATGGAGCCCAGCACCTCTCCCTCGTCGTGACGACCCGAGTTTCCCTACCCCTAACCCTCCAGAGCTTCCTGTCTTCCTCGGCTGTCAATCAATCAATCAAGGCGGAGCCTCGACGCGGGCAGTTTCGCTGACTTGTCACTTCATGGCGTCCGTCGCCACGTGGCGCGCTGTGCAGAAGAGCTTCCTGTCCTCCTCGGCTCTCAATCAATCAATCAACAAGGTCCAAGTCCAATGACCCCTGCACCTCGCGACACGTGGCGCCCCGGACGATCCCCAACGCCCTACCGCTTCCGCGCGTTCCCGCCATGTGGCAGGATAGAAGAACCGTACTGCAAAAAAAAAGCGTAACGTAGGTTACGTCAATCCCGAGGCCCCCACCAGTCCAGTGCCCAAGGTCGCCGGCGCCCCAGTGCGCTAGAGCGGTACAGGCACTACCACCTTGGTCCCGGTGACGTCGGCACGGTGAGAAATGACGCCCGTGCCAAACCAGCGCCATGCCACCAGCCGTTAGGTGCCCTCGCTGCCCCGCCAAGGGCGTCAGGAACCCGTGCACAGGGGGCCAGTATGGTCAGCGCTGCGGTAGCCGTCGTGAGTCCTTTCCTTCGTTTCTACACACGCCCTGCCTGCGCAACCACGTCAGATCAAATCTGGATACGTGGCCTGGTCTCTAACTTGCCACGCGAGCAACGGGCGAGCCCTCGTCACAACACAAATTCCCTTCCACTTCCAGACCCGCCCAGCAACCTCACCTCGTTAGCATTAGGTTAGGTCCCGTACCCTTCGGTAGAGCCGTTTGCCCGATTGCCCATCTACTGAGCCCGGCGGGAAAATGAGAACTAGAGTCCACACGGTTTTCTCGATAACCGGGTTGATTGAGTTCCTGCTCGTTTCAGGCCTGGACCCCACTGGCCGGCGGCCTGGAAAAGTTTGGGGGCTGTAGTGTTTTCCAGACCCCAGAGGTGTTGGAAACCAGTGTGGAAAGTCGGCCCGGAAAGGAATTCCAGTCCAGACCCCACCGTGCTTGGAAGCAGGTCGCGGAAATGCTGACGGGGCGACGGTCTGGAAATTAAAACGCCGACCACTTTCCATTCCCTTTCCAAGGAGGCATCCAGACGAGCAGAGGGAGGGGGCACGTCAATCTGTTTCCAGACAACGGCTGGACGGCGTGGACCATGCACCCTCGTCGTGGACCGTTTTTTCGACCGGGAGGCCACGGCAGACATGCTCTTTTTTTCTGTTGTCGGACGGTTCTCCCAAGGGCCCGAGGGTCTGGGCCATCCATGCTCCCCTCACTTTACGAATGGCATGGTGAACTGCCCACATCCGATGGATGCATGGCAACGCTGTGACTGTGATGGGAACGGCGTCGACCCTTGCACACCAGTTGTCGTGGCAACTTGACAAGCGCACAACCTTCGCGGATCCGTGCTCCTCGCCAAACCCTCCTCCTTCGTCGACGGCTATGGCTTCCCGTCAGTGCTCCATACCTGCACTCCCACTCTGGATGGTCCTGCTGGGAAAAGTGCTTCCGATGGCAGGAGTTTGTGGGAGGGGGGGGCAGCCTCCGATGCTCCCAACGGCAATTTCCGTGCACAAACGGGTCCCGCCGCCCGTACAGGCCGATAGAAGGCCATGGACCACAGCCCTAACCAGACTTGCCTTTTCGGGAAACACCCCGGGGGTATTTCCTATTCGGCCATGTCCATCCGTTTTCAGTGCCGAGACACAAGGGTGGCAGTGGGGTCCCAACGAAACGCGACAAGTTTTTTCCAACTACGTTGGGCCGTTTTTTGTGGCCAACATCAGTTTCCAGCCGCTGGGCAAGGGGGTCCAGGCCTCATTTTCGGGCTGATTTCCCATAATGACCACAAATTATCCGTCGCTAGATTGGTCAGTTGAAGAAAAAAAAAAAAAAAAAGATCAGTAGTTGTTCTTTTATTTTTATTTTTTTTAGGCAAAGGGTCACTGAGCCACGCCACTATCCAGGAGGGAAGGTAGGGTAGGGAGAGTGTCCGGGGAAGGGAATGGAATGTGGATACGTTCCTCTAGGTCGAGGATGGATCGGTTTTAGGTCTGTGTACTAGAAAGCTAGGCTGGGATAATAGTTGTCTTAGGAGGAATTGGTTTCGCTATGATTAGTTTTAGTTGCTATTTAGATAGGAGTACAAATAAACTTTGAGATGATCTGGAAAGTATGAGTGCTCAGTGTTGATGAGAGAAAAGTTAAACTAGCTGATGCTGTCATGATAACTCCGGGTGAAATTGTGAGGTCCTCGGTCCCCGCGCTGTGATATGATGAAATGTTGGGGGAAAAAAAAAAAAAAACTATCCAATTGGGAAATCTCACTCGCCGTATGCGTGGAGTAGTGCAGCATGTGTGTGGCGTCCTCGCGACACGTATGCAGCACCACTTTTGTTTTTGTTTTTTTTGTCGTAAAAATACGAAAATAAAAAAATAAATGAAAAAATAAAATTTTGTCTCAGCCTCTACCCTCTACATGTTTGTGTCGGTGTGTGGATCGTCTGACAACTGGGCAGAAAATAATATCTGGCGCAGTGCCTTGCGGTGTGCCCGCACTGCGTGGTGCGTGCAGAGAGGCGACTCATTTCACATTATGAATGACGATGGACCTGCTTGTCTTCGACAGGCAAAGGGGGAAACCATGAAATGTTAAAAATAAGCTTTTGGATTGCAGTGGGAGCATGAACCCATGTTTTACTGTAACCTTCGTACACCTTCGTTATGGGGAAGGGAAGCATCCGATTTCGTTGTTTTTTTTTCTTTTTTTTTTTTTTTTTTGGGGGGGGGGGGGGGGGGGGAGGGGGGGTGCACACGGACAATTTGCAAAGGGGACGCACGTCGATCGACCATTTATTCAGTCGGCAGCGTTGCCGAACGGTTAGACGATGAGAGTGGCGGGGGAAGAGGGGGGAGTTGATGGTCCTTGGCAGCAGTCATGATGCCACCCTTCCCTTGTGAGTTGAAACTCTTGATAGCGATTGACTCTTTAGGTCGCGTGGACAGTGGTGTGCATTAGCTGTTGATTCGTTGGCCCGTACATCTCATCGATGGCCCCTGTTGTTCGTAGTCTCGCATTGGTGAATGGTTAGGACGTATTGACGTCGTCATAAATGCGTTGTTACATGGATTGTCTACCGAACACTATTGTGTATTACGATAGAAGACCATGCATAACATTCAAGGGTAGAGTTATTTCGTTTCGTCCCATGGCGGAGGTCTGTTTGTGGAGGTCTGGAGATGACCTTTCCATGCATACAGATCAGGTCGCGGTGGTGGTGACATCCCCGTATATGTGTACTACCTTCCACAGTTTTCTGAGCACACGATATCGGCGCAAATACCCTTGCAAGGGTATCTGCTCTTGCATCGCAAATGACAGGAATGTGATTTGAATGGAAAATTTTGAGAGCTATGATGCACGCGGACGGAGTTTTGACGGTCACCGACAAACTCTATTAGATGTCATATATGAAGGGCATGTTATTGGATATCAGAGTGAGCTTGCTACTGTTTAAACGGTTTGTTTATATTCTTATTGAAGGGTTTTTAAATCGATATACATAAAAATCGTTACCTAATATATATTTTAATTTAAAAAGATTTTTTTTTTTAACTTAGCAAAAATAATCTTTAAGGATTAACTTTAAAACTTTGTTGGTACTGTAACCTTATATAGGATTATGTCAAATTATGATCGCAAGGAAAAATGTGTTGAGTAAAATAAGTTGTATATCTCATTTTATATATTTTGGTTAATAATGTTTCTAGTTGTTGTGTCGTTGGGAGGTTTATAATTTAATAAGGATATGTATAACCTAGATTACTAAAGTGGTTCGGGACCACTTGCTAAACTGAGTCAAAAATAAATTAATAAAATATTTGTTTATTTTTTTCACAATAAATTTTGGTACGACCTTTAGAGAAAAGTTTTTTTTTTTAGTTTTTTACATAACATGATTTTCTTAGGGTTTTTTTTTTTTTTTTTAAAGGGACCTTCCCTTGTTATTGCCCAACCGGGCAGCCTGGTTTAAAATAGGGGATATGATTATATTAAACCGGGCGGGCTTTTTTTTATAAATATTTTTGTTTCAAGTCCTACATAAACTTTAAAGTTACAAGAAACATATTTAATTATTAAGCCATTTACTTAATGACAACCAAGTTTCAAGAAATGTATAGATAGGTAGATTATTTACAAGATAATTATCTACACCCTCGAGACTATAGTCATTGTGTACGTAGTTTAATTATAATATAATATATTAAAATATCGATAATTATTAACACCCTCGAGACTATGTGTGCATCCTATTTTTCGTTGAGAATAAGGTTATGAATTAAATGAACTTTATGATTCATTGCGTACATAGTTTAATTATAATATCATGTATTGAAGTTATATCTAGGCTACCAGCCGGGCCGCCTGGTCACCTTACTTTCCCGGGCGGCCCGGTCATGCAAGGACCAAGGAAGGTCCCTCCCCCCCCAAAAAAACAAAATCAAAAATTTAAAAAAAAAACTATGTTATGCAAAAAAATAAACTGAACAATCTTTGTCTCAGGGTCATATATTTTTTTTTACCAATTTTACAATAAAAAAAATATATATATATATATATATATATATATATATTTTTTTTTTTTTTTCGGTCTTGTCGGGCAAGTGAACATGGATCACTTTGGTAGCCTAGAGTTATTTGATATAAATTTTTATAAAAGACTTGTTTTGTCAAATATTATATAACTTTTGATGTTGTATCACATAACGTCTGATTAAGAAACTATCTATTTAAAATAACTATCCTCTTTAATAATTATACTCAATATAAATAGATTATAAAAACATTCACCTAAGAGTTATTTTACTTATAAAGTTATAACAAAGAGACCCGCTGCGGCTTCATCTGTGGCAAAGTTCGAAGCGGGAGGGAGAACAGTCACGCATCAGTTTTGGACGGAATGCAGTGAAATGTTCGGTTGTACATGGAGGCTGACAGAAGATATTTGCCTCAGCAGTGAACCAAGTAAGAAATGTTTCAGCAATCGATGAAGTAGAAGTCGAAGATTCAAATCAATTATTTAACAACAATGCAAAATGAAATCAATGTTGTTGTTTATAGCAAAGCGGAAAAAAAAGGACAATCTGCAAAAAGAAATGTGGAGGACAATTTGTATCTTTTTTTTTTTGTGTTTGCAGCCAGGTTTGTTGTGGGACTCTGCTCGAGTT